CACGAACATCAAAAATCAGGATATATAAAACAGTAATTAGACCGGTGCTCATGTATGGTTGTGAGACGTGGACGCTGACAAAAGCAATGGGAAAATAAAACTCAGATGCTTTGAGAGAAAAATCCTCAGAAAGATCTTCGGTTCCTATCACGATCCGAATACTAACCAATACCGAATGAGAACAAATGCCGAGGTCAAACAAATGTATAGTGCTAGCGACGTAGTCCAAGAGATTAAATCCCAACGTCTAAGATGGGCTGGCCATGTTCATAGGCTCCCTAATAACCGCCTTACCAAGTTAATCTGGGAAGAAGTCCCGACAGGGAGAAGGCCCTTAGGACGTCCACGAATGCGATGGAGAGATAATAATATGGTCAGATTTGAGAACAATGGGGCTACCCACTGACTTAAAACATCATGGACGACCGTTTCGAGATGGAAGCAGGTTGTGCAGTCAGCCAAGACCCACCCCGGGTTGTAGTGCTACCAGAAGAAGAAGAAGAAGAAGTTACTAACGTACCTCCTTCCACAGAGTAACGGCGTTTACTTGTTTTGTCTCCTTTGTTGACACAATTTTGCTCGGTTTTTGCACAGTTTCGACCCCTGTCCAATATGAATTGTATATATTCAGAGGCTCAAATCTGCCTCTCCATCGCGCTGGCCAAATTGTCAAAAATTGTATAATCATTTACCCTGTTATAATTTACAGCCCTTGCGTGACCTGTCGCTTCTGGTACTCTTACTGATAAGGTGGAGTTTCTCCTCATGAAATTGGAAAACCAATCCCCTGATGCTATTTCCGTTAACGTGCCACTGTTGTGGAACCTTCCAGTTTTTCTTTATGGAAAATTCATAGGACAAAGAACAAACGTCAGTTGCTGTAAGCCCATAAAACAGGTCCGCCGATTTTCATATATATTCGGACAATATTAATTCATCCTCCACTGGTAATACTTTGTTATGTCGCTTTTAATTTTTTTTAATATGTCTGTGCAGGGATTACATGACAAATTTTTAATTGCCTTGCTGCTGCTTTCCCTTCGGAAATATTTTGGTCTAGAACCAATTTAGTTGTCAGTTCTAATAGGGTTTTCGAAGGACTTATCTCCGTTTTTCTTATTCTGGTTCCAATGTTTCTTATCATGGTTCCAATAAGGCTTTTTTCGGATACTCGGCTAGCGTTCGTTTGGTCCTATTCAAGCGTCAACTTACCTCCATCCTGATTCGATTCGAGGACCTTACCAGGTGTCATATTTGGCTAAGCCAACGAATTACGCAGGTGTTTTAAGTCCAGATAAGCAAGAACAGAAAGATCGCTTAGAGTAGAAAGGCAAAAGCTGGCTTCATCATGATGTTCAGTTACATTAAGGATGTGGCGGCCAAGCGTTCATAGCCACCTCGCTTTTTGATCCTTCGTTGTCAGCACTTCCTATCATTGCACAGCAGAATTCGGCAAGCATTGGATTGTTTACTCATAGACAAGGAATATAACCTGGGTTTAGACCGTCGCGATACAGGTTAGTTTTCACAGGGAATCCCGCCCAGTAAGAGAGGAACCACAGGTACGTACATTTGGTTGACGCGCTTACTCGAGCTGGTAATGGCACAAAGCATCATCCGTGGGATTATGTCTCTGAACTCCTCTAAGGTGCCAACCTTTCTCGTCAAAGGACATAACGATATCTCTTGGAGTTTCAAGACTCAAAACAAAAAAAGAAAAGACTCGAAAACAGACTTACTAGGCAATCGTAGTTCGCTATGATTGTCACTCGAGCATTTATTTTAATTGAGATTAGCGGTTTACATTGGGATCGATCTTTGACAGTAGACCAGAGCTTTAGACAGACGAACGTGGGTATTATAATCTTTTCGGTCTTGAAAAACTCGGAATTATCTGTAGACGACTGACGTACCTAGCAGGGTGTTAAACCTGATAGAGTGGTTTCCACGCTGTGAATCTATTAAGACTCAGCCCTCAGTTTGGTGGCCTAATCCATCGATCAAATGCAAAACTGGATTGAAAAAGGCAGTAACTGGAAAGAGTACACTAACGTGTATGTTAGTAATGTATACGTATGTAATATATACGTATGTAAGTTCAAGAATATAAGAAACATTCAAGGATATAGGAAAAGGGAATAAGCAAGAAATATGTAAATAAATATCATCCAACTCCTTTACCCAAAACCGTTTCCTCATCAAAACGATAGGATAAGGCGAATACATTTTATAGCTACAATAAGACCGAGTTTATTGCGGTGCATTAGGACAAGTCCTAAAATTAAATTCTAATTTTTTGAATGCAATTTTATCACGCACGTACTTAAATTTATTTTTATATGCCAAAATCTCCCCTCTTAGCGATTTGTTAGATTACTGTATTATGCACGACAGAGGGGTCAACGATAGGTAGAGTACGCACGAAGTGTAGAGATGAGTCGATCGGTTCAAAAGGTACGATGCTACTGCATGAATCGAGTGAATGGATTATGTTCTTAAATTTAGGATTTAGAACTACGCATTTTAGACACCATGATTTCTACAAGCAGCACTGTTGATTACGATATATATTTGACACCGATCGTGGAACGAGGAACAAAATGTGATTAACCATGTAAAATGGAGTCTTTTATTAATAAATATTTGATCAGGTTGCTAAAAAAGTGTATCCAGAGCAAGTACCAATTAGTCAAAATAATGATGAAACTGTACACTTTAAAGTTTGTTTAAAAAGCGATGCTAATCATGATGTATAGAACAACGTATTGGTTAATAGGATAGGATTGGTATAATAGGTGGGCAGCAAATGCAAGATATACATTAGCGATTACGGAATTAAATATTCAAAAAAACTTTTGGTACTTCGAAAATAAAGATCCCCACAGCCACTTGGAAATCGACAACGTAACTCACGAGGAGCAAATTACGAAAATAATTGAAAACAGACTAGAACTAGGTGAAATCAGTGGCACAACCGTATCATCTGGGGCCCGTGGCAAAATTCATTGGATGGGGCAGAAAGGAAAATCGTCACATTATAATTGAATTTTAACAAATCACTGAGATAGTTACCCAATAATAATATTGTGTCCATTTTAGTTAAATATTTATTTTCAAAAGCATAGGGCATTACATATTTATAAGATAATTGTTTAATGTTAACAAGATATTTATTCTTTTCTCCGAGCTTTCAGGAATGATATTTTAGCACTAGCTGCATTCACAGTTATTGTACCATTACTGCGTTACATACTTCAGGAAAGCTGCATAATATAAATATCCTTTATTATTAATAAATCAGTAAGTTCTTTAATACCTGTTGACTTTTCTATTTCATCTCTGAAGGTGAACCGACTACTCAACTTAGTAAAGTTGATTGATGGATCACTTTCTGGTACATCATTTGCTTCATTTTTAAATTTTCAAATTTATGCTGATAGCTTTCCAATTCGTCCAAACAAATTCTCAGAACATTAAGGAATCTAGAGAGGACTTGACATAGCATTCCATCCAAAAATGTTGTATTTTTTTAGATTCCGATTTGCGAATAACCAACATGGTTCACAATACGGCTTCTGAAGTATTAAGGATAGCCGTGTACGTTCAAGTTTTACACCAGAACTTGGAAACATTATAGTAATATTTTTCTAGGACATATTTATTAGCAGTGTCTTTTAGGAAAGGACCCTTAGGTTTACAAAGTCCTTTTTCGATCACGAACTATTTCCCATGATCATTTAGTTCTTTAGAATTATCCTTATCACTAAAATCTGGTGGAGATGCAATATTGTTCACACTAAATATAATTCACTTTGATTGTTCTATGCCTGTGTGGTTGTTCTGGTTAATTATATATAAGTCTTCACTTTCAGAGCATTGTTCACGTGTTTTTCATCATCAATAAACTCATTATTCTTGAAGTACTGATTAATTTTAGGTAACTTATTATGTTTTCTGCAGATTTTCTTTTTCTCTTATTTTTTCGCTTCTACTCAGATATTTTCTAGAACTAGACATGTTGATATCTAACTTTCACTCTTAACTTTGCTTTGTCTTTATTTGCAGTCCAATTAAAATAAATCTTCGAAAAATCAAAGACACAAATGACTCATTATCACAACAATCAAACGAAGAATGCGTAGTACAGCCTTCCGTACTTGAAAAAAAAGAGAAATTGCTTGAGCGTCGCAAAACCGCCAGCGCCACGAAAAAAGTACTTCCTCGTTTATCAAAATGCGGGAATTCCCGATCTCGTCCGCGCCAACTTAGTATCTCGACAAAAATGAAGCAACCAATAGATGCGTTCTAAATTGAACAATTTATCTAGCGAATGCGTTTTAAAAACTATATCTAAATTATTTACTTTGAATTTGTATATGATCTTCGGTTGTGCCTCACTTTAATTGATTGTTGATGTACTTATATAAAATTAAAAACTTTTAGTAAATTTTATTTAAATCGGTACGTCATATCTCAAGCTCGCCAGCCGTTCGGGTTTGGGGTCCCCCGTCAGTCGGGGGGCGCCGTGGGCATTTTGTCCAGTCTTGCCAGCCCTATATTGTACGCCCACTCGGGTTAGATGAGAAAAGAAAACACAGTGGAACTAATGTATTAAAAATAAATTCCATTTGAAAGGACAATTTTAAAGAAGAAATTAGCAAAAAGAACGAAAAAATTAAAGAACTATTGATCCATTTATTGAGGGTAGCTTGCGCCCCATCTTGATTGAAGTGCTGAAAAGAAATCTGAGAACAATATTAATATATAATTAGTCAATCTGAAAACGGTGAAGACGATGAGACAAACAATAAGAACGAGATAATGTAAATGAACCAGACAAAAACTCGCACCTGAACACTCTAAGTGTTCAGAAATTGCAGAACGGGGATATCAAATTATTTTAACAATTAGATTATAGTAACTAAAATCACAAAAAAGAAAAATAATGTGTCCAGAAAATATAATAGTATCTATAACCAGTGAATGAAAAATAAATGTAAATGAGTCCGAAGTATGTAACAAGGGTGGACAAAACTAGATTGATTAAGAAAAAAAACATCGCAATAGAAGCTGTAGGGATGATAATAGAAGAAAAGCAGAGACAGAGCAATTTTGAAAAACTACAAAACCAAGGACACATGGAAACAGAATGGAAAAAGTTCAGTATGTATGTTCAGTAAGCAAAAGAAGACACTGTTTAGGGAAGAAAAAAGAATAAGTAAGATTTCCTATTCCCAAACAGTATGTCAAAGATTAATCCTTGCCAACCTTCAAAACGAAGACGTCACTTGACGAAGTTTGTATTATTTCTCAATACAGATATTCTAGGAGATTATGGAGAACGGGTGACATAACCACCAACGATTCTTGAAGTTAAAGACGCGTTTAAAATACTAGTCAAACACAACTCATCCGGAATAGATAATCCTCCCGCGGGAAACTATCTAAAGGAAGTAGCTCATAAACGAAATAAGGACACAAAAATTCCTCCCCAGTGATTGGAGATACTTTGCATCAGAGTGCTGATTTCAGAGATGGCAAATTGACAAATTCATCAGATTGCAACCCTGAGACAAATTTTATATACTAATTTTTACAACTTCCCACATATTTATACAACTACAGGCAACTACAAGGCAGCCTTCGACTCTGTAAATAGAAGAGAAATGTTCAGAGCAATGAAAGAGCTAGAAGTACCAAATCATTTGATAAATTTTACCAAAAGTAACCTTTTAAACAGTTGAATGTAGAGTACGAATCCCGTCTGAATCCAAAAACAATGGGCTGCGCCAGGGAGATCCTCTCTACTGTACACTGTTCATTCTGGCTTGGAAAAGGTACAAATCCTACGGCCACTTGTTATACAAGACGACGTCATCGACACAGTTAACGAATTTGTATACCTGAGAGCGAATTTGCACGGCCAGCAGGTCCTATTTGGGTTTAATCTCCTTTATAAATCCTCAATTAAAGATAAAATTCTACAAATACGCCCAGTACTAACATATGGTTAAGAGTCCTGGACTCTGAACAAAAAGTAATGAAAACATGTGAGGATGTTTCGAAAGAGGAACTACTAAGGCGAATCTATGGAACAGTGAATGACAATGGAGTGTGGAGAAGACAATACTTCGAACTTTATAGAATATCAGAAACCAGATGTCGTAGAACTCATTAAGATAGGACGTCTGAGGTGGGTAGTTCATGCAATGCGGAAGGAAAAAAAATTGGCCCAGCTAAAAAAACGGTCCTGATAAAGCCATTGTCAAGAGAAGAAAGGGAAGACCCAGAATAAGGTGCATTGATAATATCGATGAAAACATGAGAACTTTAAGTATACGTGCTTGGCGGAGGAAGGATATGGATGTCTGGACAAAATTCTTAAGAAGACTAGGACCCATACAAGGTGGACAACCAGAATTATGATTTTTTTTTTGAACTTATTCTCTGTCCTTCCAATTGTTGGATATAGGTCTCCCCCAGTTCTCTCCATCTTTCCCTATCTTGAGCTGTTCTCTGCCATGTGGGACCTCCTTGTTTCCTGATGTCATCTTTCCACCTCATCTGTGGTCTGCCTCTTGATCTCTTTGCATTGTATGGACGCCACTTTCCGATGGCATTGTTCCATCGTCCGTCTTGGAGACGCTCATTGTGTCCAGCCCATTTCCATTTCAATTTCCAATTATGATAATAATCTGATATTATAACACTTCACGAACACTTTAAAATTTATTGTACCAAAAAATCATGATAAGTTTATGATTAAAAACGTTGCCAAATAACTGTGAGTGGATTATTCGTAGTGGTGAATAAAGTCCAAGGAGTTCTTAATAAAGAATCGAATTAATAAAAGGAACGATTATACCCAGCTCTGAAAAGCTTCGCGTGTTACTTTCTAAATGGGGTGAATAAGGGCGAAACAGTTTTGCTGTCAAGTCATCGTATATTACAAAACTAAAGGGGCCCTTATAGATTTTGGTCTCACTTTTTTTGTGGTGCATCAGCCTGCCTTTGTACTTCCTCCTGTTGGCTATTTTTAGAATATGTAAAAGATATGAATACATTTAATTGAAATGTCTGGATAATAATTAAATTCAGTTTTTTGTACGAATCACGACTTTAGTAGATAGTCATTATAATTAGTGATAATTAAAGCTCTTATCAACTCGCCATTATATTTTTAACAGAAAAATGTGACTAACGGGAAATATTGCATCGTTTAATCATTACATATCACTAGAAGTATTATTGAAATTTTTAGTAGGAGGCCATTCGTTGAGAATAAGCATAAAATCAATCAATCAAATGTCAGTAAATTGTCAGCCTTCTAATTTGTAAATGGAAACAATTTTAAAAGGATCTGACAAGCACTTTAAAGGTTAAAAAATATTTATACCCAATACTTTGTGTATAAAGTATAAATAGTTATACTCAACACATTACTGGGAGTTTACGTGAAACTATCTCAATAAATTTTATGACTTCAGATATTAATTTTTTTATAATTAGTTTAAACCAGTGGTGCTCAAACTTGAACTGCTGGCGATCTACCTCAATATTTTTAGACTACTTACGATCGACTCTGAGAGACTGCAAGTGTGTGTGATGCAGGGTTGTCGTACATACACGTACACCCTACCTAGCTAGGTAGGGTCGTACCGTAGCATATATAGATATTAGCTTTCTGCACAATATAGGTACATTATTTTAGTCAAGGTTTGGGTTGGGTTTAGTTAGGTTCTTCTCTACAATATCAATGAAAAAACTCAAAGGTATTCAAAATTGCGAGTTTATTTGTTTGGTTACAAAACAAAAGAGTTACATATGGTGTTAAACTTAAACTATAGGACTGGCTTTGTGATGTTTGAAGCGTGCACTGCATGTCCTCAGCATACTTTTCATAAGATGGTACGTAACCCAACTGAAGTGCTAATCGCAAGCATGATGTCATATGATCGTCAGTTAGTCGATTGCGATATTTTGACTTAATTATCTTCATTTCAGAAAATGCAGACTTTGCACAAGTAAGTTGACCAAAAAATACCGTCAGTTGAAGGGATTTGCAGAATTTGCATCAGATACTATAGCTTTAAGATGTATATCTGATATAATCTGCACCAACTCATTTCAACAGAACATGAGTTCATATTAAACTGACTTGCTATTTCAGTAGCTAATTCCTCAATGTTTTTACATGAAAAAGGATAAACAAATTTACTGCAATTCAATAATCAACGCATTTCGAAATTGTCCCAATATATATGATAATTCAGCCTCATACGTATCATAATTCAACTGAGGAATCCTTGCTTTCAAAGACGAAAAATGTTTCAGATCCTTTCTTTTCAGTTGATCTATCATAAGTTGCAATTTACTTTTGAATGCGTTTACTGCGCTAATCATCTCAATAATAGTTTTTCCTTTACCTTGAAGCTCCAAGGTTAACGGTGTTTAAGTGCATTGTGATGTCAGTCAAAAATGCCAAATCCTTTAGCCATTTTTTCGTTTTCAAAATCTGAGTGTCATCACCTCTTTCGTCTAGAAAAGCTGTTATTTCGGGCAATAATTCTGTGAAAACCTTTCTAGGAAATTTCCGCGACGTCAACCACCTGACGTCCGTGTGAAGAACTAAATCAGTGTGTTCAGCTGACTCCCTATCTTCCAACTGCAACGGAAAGAGCCGGCCGTTGTAAGCTACGTGCACGGATGGAATTCACAATTTTTGTTGCAATGCCCATAATTTCCTCCGTGTTTAAAAACTTTTGAACACAAAACTGTTGAAGTATAATGCAATGGAATGAAAAAAATGAAGGGAATTCTTCATTAGCTCGACACAAATCCACAAAACCGTTTTTGTTTCCAGTCATAATGGTGCTCCATCGGTTGTAATGCACATTAATTTATATATTGGTAGCTCGTAGTTTTTTACATAAATTTAAGAAAACGTCATATATATCGTCGCCACGGGTCTTCCCCTTCAGAGGAATGATTGTCAAAAATTCTTCCTTAGCCAACATGTCATTGAATACCATCCGAATAAAAATACACAGCTGGGCGTGTCTGTTCATATCGATGGATTCGTCGAACTGTAAAGAAAAGTATGTACATTCCATGATATCATGTTTTAGTTTATCTGCGATGTCTTGACTCATGACTTCAATACGCCTTGTGACAGTCGGACGAGATAACTGAAGTTCTCTAATAGCATGACATGATTTACTGTTTTATTTTAAAATTCCCAAATAAAGTCTCAACCGCTTCAATAAATGCTTCCTTCACCACCGATCCATCTTCAAATGGTTTCTTGTGTTTCGCCAAATATGAGATATTTTAAATGACGCGATCGTAGCAAGCTTTTGATTGTTTGGCTGGTCTTGTGAACATGGATTGTTCTTTTTTCAAACAAGATATCAAATCACTTACTTTTCGTTTTCGTAATTTACTCTGTGGCGGAAAATCCTTTTTATAGTTTTTATGAACCGTTTTTTATGATGCCTCTCTAAGTTACCACGCCTAGGTATTGCAACTGACGCACGATAAATAACACAAATGCACTTATCCTTCACCATAGAAAAGAAAAATTCTTCCTCCCAATCCTTATTAAAATAATACGTTTAGATTTCTTCACCTGCACTCATTTTCCACTATTTAATAATAAACTTTGTATCGACGTAGGATCGCTATCAAGTTACAGTTCAGAATAACTTCCAATTCCAGCAGGCGCAACATTTATATCGGCGTGAACGAAAGTCTCGAATGTTTCCGTCAAACGCGCCGCCCGAAACTAGACTGTACTGTCTCTCGTCTAGAAACAACACGGCTTTTCTTGACAAGTGCGCGCGTTCCTTTGATAAAGCCACCTTTTGCCGCAAGCAGTGTTATTTTATTACGTAACACATTTTTGTAGTTGATAGAATATCATCCCAAATTTTATTAATAATTATAATAAATATTGAATTAATAAAATAATTAGTTAATATATGTAAATATAAAATATGCTGTGTGGACAGTATTTTGTTGTCCCCACTTCTTTGAATTGCAATGATGCTTAGTCAAGCATTCTATGTATTTGTATAGTTCAGTATTAATAAAAACGTTTAACTCTGCTGACAGTAGTTTAGTTACCTACCTACCTTATTAAAATTTTTTTTCTTCCCGAGATCTACT